AGTAGCATTTCTACATTTAAAAGAAGCAGAAGTGAGCTTGTCCATAGCTAAATGAGAGCAAATAATTTTTCAAATTCAGATGGTAGAATGTAGAAAATTGTAAGACATATACAGAAACTAGTTTTTCAGCAAGTCAAAAGAGAAGTCAGACATTGAGTCATTTTAACAAAGATGTGGGAAGATGTCAATGCAAATCAACAATGGCCATTTTGGCACAGGGATCCACTTGAGCTTAAGCCATGGCAAGCTAGGTTGGAAGAAAAGAGCGGAGGGGTAAAAAGAGCAGATGCAGAGGCAGCACCAGTCTTTCAACTGCTCTTTCAATACACTGACTGAGGTAATTGAGTGAGGGATTACAAAGCATCGCTTGACTTGAGGGGCCTGGGGAAGTGCAGCGCTGCTCCACATGACTGCCTGTTGGCTCTCGCACCACTCCGGGCACCTGGCATGGCGCTAGCTCATTTCATTTCATACTGTTAGCTCTGTGTGCAAATCCGTCACAGGCTTCCTGTCAGCTCCGTGTCACATATAACAACTCTGCAAGAACTCAACACTCGAACAAAACCAAATGTGTTGGACGTTATTCTGAATAACTTCTTCTGTTGAACTAAAAAACAACAAAGGAAAGAGGATGTCAGAGGATGAGAGGAAGTGAAAACTAATGACAGAGGAACAGAAATAGAAGGAGACGGTGTAAAACAGTATAAAAATGTGGTGACTTAAAGCTTTACTGTGAGAAAAGCACTTTGATGCAGAGATGAAAAGTAAGTGTCACACTCAGATCTGTGCCTCATCCTTTTTTTGGGCCATCATCAGAGTAGAGAGTATTTGTGATGCTGTCAGCCAGTTACGCTTGGGAGGGCTGGAAGCTGAGGCACCACCAGGGATATACACCAATTATGATTGTTCCCGTCACTGGTGTGTATAACCTAGTGTGTGTATGCGTGTGTGTGTGTGTGTGAGCAGGAGAGAGACAGACAGAAAGATAAAAAGAGCTCTTGTTTGTCGGCGCACACACACACACACACACACACACACACACACACACACACACACACACACACACACACACATGTGGGTCTATATATTTGACACAGAGAAGAAACAGTGAAGGAAAGAGTGGATTGTTTTTGGAGTGTGTGGTGTGTGTGTGGGCTTGTGGTCCCTGTGCCCTTCTCTTTTACACGGCACATTTCAGGAACTCATGAATTTATGAATGAGCCATCTCCTCCTGAATCATTCATATTTTTACTCTCAGTTTGTCTTATGCTCCTTTGTTTCATGTGGCCTGGCATGAGTCATATCCATTAAAATAATGGCATAGGTAAGGTCTGATACAGTAGCTAGTAACAGTTGTTACAGTCTTTGCAATGGTTTCATATTTGGGTCAGAGTTTGAAATGTGCTCATCCAAAAAAGAAATACTTACATTCATTACAGTGGCTCATTAGTTAAATCACTGTGCATTGAATTACATCACTAATGGTATCATTGAACACATTTAGCAAACACACATTTCCATTGATCTCTGTTTTGTTCTCCCTGGTGCTTATTCACCAAGTCACTGAGCCAAAGATGACATTACATATATCATACTGTGGTGTCGTCCCTCTATTCATTTTACAGAAATGAGATTTGAGATAATAAGTCCACAGATGCAGGAAAACGTGAGCATGTACATGTAAATTAGACAAAATATAGGTGTATTAAATATGCATAAAGTAAATAAAGGGGGGGGGGGGGACAAAAATAAAATGACTGTCTAGATACAAGAGTTCCTTAACCCCATTTGTTCCCTTACCCATCACCCTTGTCTCACGTCTCACTCATTAACTAGTACTCAGGATGGGATATTGTGGGAGAATGGGTAACAACTCAGGAACTCTAATTTGTTCAAGGTGTGATATGAAAGGACCAGGCCAAAACAGCAGCAGCATAAAAAGTTACAGACAAGACACAACACAACACAACAAATACATTAAAAGTAGTATGAATCCAGTACCAGTGATAACATTAAAATACCTACAGACAATGACAAGAACTATAACAAGAACTGTGATATATTGTGGGAGTCTGCCCTTTAAGATGTATCTTATCCTTTCCAAGTGTAGTGTGCAGGTTAGGTCACGTGAAAATTAATTTATCTAGTACATTTTCAGGGTACAGTATAAATTGGAATAAAAGGATATTGATGCCAGTCAATAGGATTACTTCACCCACAAAACGACTGTTTGTAAATCAGTTAGCAGTGGTCAAGAAAGTTTACAACTCTTACTTGAGTCAAAGTAGATAGTGAAGTTAAATATTTCTGCAGTATAAATGTAAACTGTTCAGTTAAATTTTTACTTGAGTTATTATTCACAAACATTCGGAGAATACTCTCAGAGAGCTCCTAACTCAGGCCAAAAACTTTTAGTAAGGAGTCCTAGCTTAGGAGTGATTTAGGAAAGTTCTCAGAGCAACTCATCACTGCTGCACTGTTCTATTTTTCCAGTTTTCCAAATATCTTAGTGTTGTGATCATTTTATTTATGGCGTTATAGCGTTATTGCTTTGGGTGAGAAATGTGTTCGTACCTCTAATGACATTGATCACAAATATTATCCCTGCACAATCTGATCTGTAGCTTTTCATTTACTCACTGTCATCCCGTGTTTGGAGAAAATCTTAAGCCTCTTAAAAGTCCTCCTCCCTACTCCTCACAGTTTCTCACCTTAGGAGCTCTTTTAAGGGCGAAGATGCTCTGTGAATAACTGTTATCTTTACAAGCACCTAGTCTTAACTTTAAAGCAACACTTACCTTTCTGGAAATTTTACACTTTTCTTTGTTTAGGTTAAAATGCTATTAATGAGCTGATGGCACACTGAAATGTCAGTGAATTCCACCAGAAATAAAATCTCATAATTATACCATTCTCATATGGTTCTAAGAAAACTCTGAGCAATCATTGCATTCGGACCAAATGCAATGATTGGTCGGACATCCTGTCTGTCTTCCCACATGGAGACCTGACGTAACCGCTCACGTAACATAACGTTAGCCTACTGTAGCGTAGCCTCTGAGACATTAACATTATCTTCCTTGTGTGTTTCCACTTACTAGTAATTTTAATGCTACTATCTAACGTTAGCACTGTAACCTTATTCTAAAACTCATCAGTCATCACTGACTCTGGTTGAGTTTTAAAACTCCGGGGTTGCGTTTGACTGTCTTGGTTGTAACGTTACACTCGCTTTCCTCTTCCGTGTATCTAACGTTACCTTGCCAACACCTACGTCTATCATAGACGTAATGGAGGAGGGGGGAGTAGGCCTTTGGAGGGAGGTGGAGTTGCAGGAGGAGGGGGATGGGACTTTGGAGGGAGGCGGGAGTTGTGGATGTTCAAATTTTTTCTAAGTGCTGTGTGAAATACAAGAAAGGTAAGAGTAGCTTTAACCCTTAGATGCATGACCTACCAATACCTACACTCTTCCATAAGTGGGGTCAAAAATGACCCCAATTAGAATCAATGCGTTTTATGTGATAAACTTAAGCAACTTCTTTCATTTTGGTTAAAGATGATGATTTGTATTAAATTTTGGTCAACAAAAGAATGATTTCATGTTTGACATGTTCATTTATCACTTTTTATTAACATTTTAACAACCAATGACATCATTGAATAATCAAGAATAGTATAATAGGCTACCTAAAGGGTCAGATTTTATTACAAGCAAGCTATAAATATCATAGTAAGTCTGCTTATCTCTACACAACAAATGCAGTAATGTTA